TAATATATAATTATAAATATTTTTTTAAAATAATTTAATTAATTTGAAAACTTGAAATTGTTACTATTATACAAATGTAAGAATAATGCTACAGACCTTTGCACATTTTTAGATTTATATATTATTTTGCTTTGTGTATTTTTCAGCTGTGGGATGATGGTTGTTTCAATTATTGATTGTAAATTTTAAAAAAAATTCTACATATATTTGACATACATAACCTCCATTAGTAAATTTTAAATTATGAATTTATGGAGAGAATTTGTTTTTTAATATAATAGCGTGGTCTGAACCTTTGTACAATCATTCTATAACAAAAAAAAATGAAAAACTTAGGTGATGAATAAGGTTTATTGACCTACTTAGGCCTATAGGTCTATTTATGAGCCTTGTATAAAATAAGTTATCACATCAAGTAAGACTTTTAAGTAGACTAGGTTGGACATTAAAAAAGGTCTGTAGCAAGTAAACAATGCAAATTCTAGCTTAGTAAATATGTTGTAAGTCAAGCTCAAACCGCTAAAGCCTAGTCTGACCTGTTTTCTCACCTTTATAAATGATGATATTAAATTAAACGACTAGAATTTATATTTTGAGTGTTATGTTTTAATTTAATTTGGTTGAGTTATGACTTATGTCTGAATGATTTAAGATCATGTTTGGATAATTTAAGAGTGAATTTTCAATTTAGTTGCAACATTTTTTAATTTTGTAGTTTTTCATTAAATTATTAATTTTACAAATAAGTAAAATGCATGTAGCGGGTATGGGTACGCAATGAGTATGAGGATGAACCTTAAAGTTACTATCCACAAAAGTATGGAAGCATGTACCTATACAAGATCTAGGATCAACTTTCTTCTTCTAACATTGTCTGGTCTTTTGAATGATACTCTATGTGCCTTACTTGCAAGGCAATCTTCACATGATTCAAGTGGATTCCCCTTTATTCGTGGAAGGTGATCTTTCACAAGGATCTCTAACTAACTTTCTTGCTAAGATATGGTTTAGGCGCATCTTAGGTATATGTCTTACCTTCTTCAACACCAACTTGTTTCCATTCTTAGTCTTCAAAGTCACTTCACATAAGTCCATAATATTACTTGTGATCTGATTTCCCATCATTATACCAAAGTCTCCCCTTTGATAGATGAGAAGAATTCTACATGATGTGTGACGTGAAAGGATGCACCAGAATCAACTATCCAAATACAATTATCAAATGCAACATTTAAATAGTTTTCTTCACCAAATACGAAAATGTTCTCATTGCCTAATATCATCGTTGTAGTGGTTTTTCTTTTCATCCTTATTTTAGGTTCTATTTGATCAAGATGAACTATTCCAACTTTCTTATCCCTTTTCAAGAATCTGCATTTTGACCTTTTGTGATTATTTTTGCCACATTAAAATTAAGTTAGGCTTTCGGTATGAGATTTGGATCTTTCTCATTATTTTCCATGACTTCCTCCTTTTTATCTTTGCTCACTCCTTCTATTCTCAACAACATTGGCTTCGAAGTAGCTACTCAAGCCTCTTTCTCTCCACCTTGTCTCTTCATTTAGCAAACAGTCTACAACAATATATATGTTAAGTTGTCCACATGGAGAAAAATTGCTAAGAGTGACAACCAATTAATGTCTCCCAACTCTTAAGAAGAGAACCAAGGAGTAAACAAATATGTAAGTCATCATCAATATTCATTTCTACCTTCATCAATTGATTCACAAATCCTTTAGAGTGTGTTTGGATGGGGAATTTAAATGGGGTAATTCATTTACTTGAAGAATTTCAAATTCTTTGAGGTGAAATACTTTGTTTGGATGGAGAATTTACAAAGAATTTGAAATCCAAACATTTGTGAAATTCCTTGAAATAGTAGAATTTCAAATTCTCCAAAAAAAGTAAGAATTTGAAATTTCTCATATTTTTTTTTTCTTATTTCACTTATATATTTTATCTTATCTCTTCATGTTTTTAATTATTGAATATTAAAAATACTTTTTAAAATTATTAAATATTATCTAATATTAATTTTTAAAATTATTAAATATTTAAAATTTGGCTAATATTTGTTTTTATAAGATTTTATTTAAAAATCTTAACATACAAATATATTTTTAAAATTAATTTTATCATGGTAGAATCAAATTATCCTATCCAAATTAACAATTTAAAATTTAAAAATATGAATTGACTTATCCAAATAAAACATTTTAAGAATGATAGAAATTGAAATCAAAGTAATTTAAATACCAAGAATTTCAAATTCCTTGAATTTATAAAATTCTTCATCCAAACACACCATTAAAGTGTTTAAGGGCTCAATCATTTACCAATATTAGTTGGCACGAGTGGTAATAATTTATGTCCTTTAACAAAATTATTCAAAATTTGAATCTTGACCTTATATATGGAATAAACTATATTGAAAATAGGAAATCATACATAATAAGAAAATAAAAAACCAAACAAAATTACTAATTTGTAATTTCCTATTGATTTTCAACTTTTTGGATTGATTTTCGATTTTTCATTTAAATTAATTCAATTTTCAACACCATTACTTAATAATATTACCTCATTCATGTCCAAAGAAATATTTCTCATACCACCACACCACCTTATATAAGAAACACCAAGATAACTAAATAATTTGGCATAAATAGACCTAATAAGTCGTAGGCATGCAGTCGCCTCTCTCACTTTTTCTTGCACTTGCATATATACATTGTTTGAATAAAATAACATGAGCGACAACTTGTGAAAAATCCATTGAAATATTTCACCTCCTAAAATTAGTGTCAAACAAAGTTGATTAACATTTTCTTAAAAGGAAGTAATTAATATTTTTATCATCTAATATTTGAACATATAAATATTTGACGTCTTAGTTGACGTCTCCCTCCTAACATAAAGAATTTATGTGATATCTTTAATATTTAATATTGACATTTTCTACGTGTAAAATGAATATTGTACCTTTTCTTTTTGGAGTTAGAATATATGAATATATGAATATATGAATATATGAATATATGAATAGGAAAGCTATATCTCAAAAAAAAAAAAAAAAAACAAGAACCCTAAACACGTTTCAATACGTCTTTAAATAGTCTTACTATTATAAAGTGGGGCAAAAGTGCGCCACCCACCAACTTCCTTTTGCCTTTTTTTTTTTTAATTTTAATTATGCAATCCATAATAGTTCAATTATTCAACCGTGTTTAGATATAAGTGCTTTCTTTCTCCTTAATTAATATTAGATCATATGTTATTAGAAGGTTCATGCCATGATATAATAATATATATAGTGCGTCGCACACCTTGGAAAATTCTTTTGACTTTCGATGTTATAGATATTTAGAGAGAAAAAGAATATTCTTTTGTATAAAATACATTTAATCTTTTCTTTTTATTTTATGTTTTTGCAAGTGTATGATGGATCAATCATTCGCCCCTCCACACTTCTATGTTATTAATTCAAAGATATTTTACTTTATTTGATACTCTATTGGCAATGGATAATTCATAAATGGATAATTCATAATTACAACTTGCGGCCTAAAATTAAAAAGACAAAAAAGTTTATCTTTAATAATGATTATTCAGGGCCCCCTTGAGTTTTAGGTGTGGCAGAGCTAAGTCAAAAAAAAAAAAGTGTATATAATTATTTGAATATTATTTATAATTTTATTCACAATTTTAAAGCGTAAAATATAAAGAATTAAATATATAGTGGCTAAAAAAATACAAAATGCAAAGTATATTTATATGAAATTATGAATTATTTTTAGAGACAACTACACATTGAGAAATAGGTTAACAATTGTAACACATTATAAAGGAGTTTACGGTGAAGAGGTGAAAGTTTGTGTTGTGATTTTAGATAAATAGATCACGATTTAAAAGTAGAAAGAGAATTAAAAAAATTAAAGATAAATAAAAAAAATTAAAGACAATCATTATTTATAATTTTATATTAGTAATTATAAAAGTTCTCACAGGAAAAAAATAAATAATATATTACTTTTTAAATTTTTATATTTAATATTATTAATTTATTTTCCTAGAATTATGGATAAGTTTTTGTGGATCAATGAAGAAAATAATTGTTGATTAATTGTTCACAATTATTAATTTTTGGGTAAATTTATTAGCAATTAATTTATTTTCTCTAACACATTTTTATATGATTTAATTATGTAAACTTTTACTTTTATATTATATAAACAAAATAACATTTTTGTACCCCTCCAATAATAGGGCCTTGGGTGTTTGCTCGACTAACCTATACTAAGGCAATCAATGTGAATATTTGAATTCAATCAGTTATTAGAGACTAATCTCGTTTGTGATATTCAAAGGTTTTTTTTTTCTTTTCTTTTCATCTAATATGATATTTTTTCTCTAAATAGATCTTTCTATAATGCGTGAGATGTGCCTAATCACCATACCAACCTATCAAATTAAAAAAAATATAATTTAAATTATTATACCATTTTGTATTTTTGTTAAATTCTTTATTAATATTAAGAAGAATAATAGTCACTTTATGTGTATTGAAGATCTTCGATGTAGAAATTAGTTACTACATCTAACGACAGATATTTCATATCAATATTATAGTTAAGAAATTACTAATGTTTTTGTAAAAAAAAACAAGAAAAAGTGGTGCTAAATCACATTAACGAAAAGAAAATCTCCAAATATTAATTAATTACTTGAAACAAAATAATAAAGATTTTCTTAATATTTTAAGAACTTAAAAGAACATCAAATTTTACACTTTTAATAATGACGAGGATATACGAAACTAATTCATTAGAAATATCTAAAATTATTTTTAAAAAAAAGTCAAGCATTTAAAGTATAGACAAGTAATATATAGGTCGGTCGTGTGTGAAAGCAATTGCAAATTCACTTCACACAAAAATAGGAAAATACAACCACACACACACACTCATATATATACCCCACCCATTGCATTTCTTATTGGCCATCTCTATACACGGGCCAATTCATTTGTGTTTCCTTATTTTCAGCACCAAAACCAAAGCACTCCACACTCTCCTTTAACATCTCCCATTTCTCTCTCACAATCTTCACTTTCTTCTTCTTCTTCAAATTTTCTTCTCTCTCAATCTGCCTTTCTTCTTCAACATATATAGACACAATAACAATGGTATGTGCTCTAATCTCTTGCTTTGTTTCTTCTTCTACTTTTCTTATACCATGTTTCTCTCTATTTCATATGTTTTTAATTATCTTAGATATATATGCGATGATATACGTTTATGTATGAATTATGTTCCTTTGGGTGTTTGTGTTGTCTTTTTATCCTCAATGGATGCCTATTTTATGCCACCTAAAACGGTGGTTTTAGTCTTTGGACGGCAAAATGAGTGGTTTTCCGATGCATGCAATTATATATATATATATATATATGTGTGTGTGTGTGTGTGTGTGTGTGTGTTTCCCGTTTCCTGATCAGTTCTGTAATCTGAGTAATTGACAATATATAGATCGGATGCATATCTTCTCACTTTTGGAAAATAAAGGG